GATGGACAAGCCTTGCACGTATAAAATCAACAATCCAAAGGCATCAACATGGAGAATTTAGCAATGTGGTAGGTATTCTTTATTGCAACGGGAAAATACGTAAGGCTTAGCATACCAGAACAATTACTAGCTCAGTTTAGATAAAAACAATTACAGGATTGATTGGGTGCATATCAAGGAACATAAAAGATGCCTTTGTAATAAATCAAACACTAAGCCTACAAAGGGAAAACTAGCCATTGCTAGCATATCCAAATTTGAAGTTCACTAAAACAGAACTCTCTATAAGAATCTCATATGGCAACTAGAATATAAAAATAAAAAACAAAAGAAGCTGACGTATCTACTACTTATTTGATCAGACATGAATTATAGGTCGAACTTAAAAGCAAGAAGACAACTCTGACACCATACTGCTATCATGCACACAAAGGAGCTTTTTTTTTTTTTTTTTTTTTTTTTTTAAAATCAACAATAAGAAATCAAAACTGAAACGCTTAGATAACTACTTGTTTGGAAAGTTTTAGCACCTTGATAAGCATCCGTTGGTCCTTTAATTTCAGCTGGAGAATTTAAAGGAATACTTGTTGAAAGCATGGGAGCGGAAAAGGGAGAACTTTGAGTTGGTACATTATTTATACCAACAACAGGAAATAGGGGTTGTGATACAGGAACAGGAGGCATGGATGTAGGAAGGCCAGGAGGTGCTATATGCGGAGGCAGAAGTCCAGGGGTGGTTGTTGATGGTAGAGGTGGTCTCCCATTGTGCACAGGAAACAATGGCTGCTGCACATAACCCAATGAGGAAGCAGGTACTGAGACTGCTGGAGGCTGTGGATACCATGACTGGGGACGAGGTGGAACTTGCCAAGCATTCGGAGTCACCGGAACTGCAGAATTGTACCTGGTGCAAACAAAACCAAAAGAAACAAACAGATAAGTTGCTTATGTAAATGCAAATCATGATGTAGAGCAGTGGCATAATTTCAAAATTTCACAAAGCCGGTTGCCGAGGATATGCAAGAAACCTGACTAAAAACATACATTGGCCGCATTGCACCCAAAGGTGGTTGGGGAGGATATGCAACCCCCATCGAACCTGGCACCATACCACCAACAAACTGGGTTGTTGGGATGTTTACTTTAGCTACTTTTGATGGACCGTCTTCCTCTGCACATAAATTGAGATATTTAGAAAATAAACTTAATATATATGATTAACGCCATAAACTACTCAAAATGATAGGTATAGTGCACCTCTTTTTTTTTGTTTGATTAGTCTTTAGCTCAAATGAGATAACACTTTCAAATGGATTGCAGTCAATATTCCATGAAAAAAACATTTTATGCAGAATTCGTATGCAGAAATTAGGACATCCAAATCCATATGAATGTACATTTGCAAGAGTACATAAGCATAACTTGGTTCAACCATGAACACAAGAGAATTTGAAACACTGTTACACGGACAAAATAGAATAAGTATATTACATGGATACTGCTATGAACATTCTAATAGAATGTCCAATTCAATACATTATATTATTCAAGGAAGTCCAAAATAGATAGGTCCATCTATGTGTACTTGAACGTATCATCACATCCAGGTCACAATTTAATGCGAGTCAAACCAAACCATGGCATAAACTAGTTGATGAAAATGATTAAAAGTTCACACATCACCAAATACCAATGATGATAACATAACATGAAGATAGTATATCAAAATTGTCTGGATAAACATCAAAACTAGTAAGGATCCTTTTACCTTCCTCTCCATAATGTGCAGCCAAGACGTCAGGTGGGATTCCTTGCATCCCATAAATTTCAATATCCGTTGACTCCCTGCCATCCTTCGCATTGGGAACCCTGTAAAATACAATTTTTGCCAGTTTGACTATCAGTAAATTTAAATTCACGAAAAGGAATTATTTTGAGCCACAGCTAAAATATAATGGACATACTTCAACCACACTCTGTAATAGCTCATTAAAAAGATCAAGTGAAGTAGTTTAACTTTAATCACAAACAATTAGCATCAACAACCATCTATGACAATGTTCTTATGTCCCAGCTAGATCAATTGAACTGGGGATTTTGAATATGTTTTGTTCTTAGACATAAACTGAAAGTTACTTTTGGTACTAATACAGTAGAAAAAGATTAAGTTCATCATCAGCGTACAGTGGCATCCATTACAGAATAACCTATGGGCATAAAAATCATCTTACAGTCATGAGTAAGAAGTCAATACAATCGATTATCCTCATGAGGTTTCAGGTGCTCTCTTATTATCAAGCAGGCCCCTTGCGTAAACGAGTTCATATTACAGTATATCCCAACAAAAGAGAACCGAATTTATATCAACAGACCCATTGTTTCCTGGATTCCCAGTTCTACTAAAATTACAAGCACACAAAATCTTCCGAAGTCCCGTACTTTTGCACTTAGTCCACCTTCAAGCTACCAAAATTATTAATACCTTCAACCCAATTTTGCTCGAAAGTCTAAGAGACCGTCGCAGCCTATCAATTCCATTGACCATTAAGCTGCCTCTATGCAGCTAACACAAATCTATAATCCCAAACTATCCTTCCAGCTAAAAAATTGTCCAAAACTGCCGAGCCCACATTACAAAATCACACCCAACTGACCAAATTTAGATTTTTTTCAGCGATGAAATTTCTATTTAGACCCAAATCCATTTACAACAGAATAAAAACAATGAATATCATATCTTTCTCTAACAGGTGATCAATATCATATAACAAATTCAGCGACGAAAGAAAGCATAAAAATTAGGGTTTTGGCAATTGGGGGAAAGATATATAAATCCGTACTTGGTGACGCTCTCTTTGTGGACCTGGAGGACGTGAATAGCCATGCCGCCGGCAGTGGAGAGCTTCTTATGGCAGACATGGCACTTGAAGTGCTTGGCTTTCTGGTGCTGCACCAGTATCTTCTCATCGTCGAATTCTCTATCGCAGTAGTAGCACCACACCTTCGACGCCACTCTCTTCTTCTTCTTTCCCATACTGCCCTTCTACCCCTTTGCTCTCCTTCTGCGGCTCTCTCTCTCTCTCTCTCTGCGAGCCTTCGGTTTTGGTAGTTGGGTTTTTGTTTTGGGGTTTTTTCTCTCTTGCTGTGATTGTGGTTTGGTAAATTTCATGTATTTGTATTTATAGTGTGTTTACAAAAAAAAAAAAAAAAAAATTTAAAAAAATTTTTTTTTTTTTTGGAAGCTTTATTTTTTCATTTTTAATTTTCCGAGAGTTATAATGGTAAATCGGATATGGGGGCTAGGGCTTTTCCAATTGGTGTTGACCCGAGTTGAGCCCCAATCCAATAATTGACCCGTTCAAGTGGTTTTACTAATCCGAGTGTCATAACATATCACTAACTAACAATGTGACAGTTACATGAAAAATTAGGAAAATCAATTAAAAATGTTTGAAAAGTTTTAGTTTTAATAAAAAATCATGTTATAAATTTTGTTTAATGATTAGTATAAAGCTCATATTAAAGTAGTCCAACTAAAAATGATCCAACTATAATAAATTATGATTTGTCGATTTTACCCCTAACTTTTTTAAGTTGAGTTCGAGATTTTCATCATTAATGAAGTTCATCGTTGTTTTACAGACCTTCTTCTTTTTCTTTGAAACAAAAATATAGATCCCCATGTTATTTAATTTATATTTTGTATTATTTCGTTGAAATGTGATCGTCGTTATTATTCATAGAGTATTCGAGGTACTATTTTTCAAATTTTCTTCGTCAGTGGAGTTCATCGTTTGTTTCTCCAAAAAATAAATTTGAGATCTGCATGCTATTCAATAAACACAACGGGTCACTGTTTCTCCAAAAAATAAATTTGAGATCTGCATGCTATTCAATAAACATAACGGGCCACTGTTTTTGGACTATAAAAATAAACTGTTTCTAGATTTTAAGTAACACTGTTTCTGGAATTTAAGTCACTGTTTCTGGAATCTAAATTACTGTTTCTGGAATCTAAGTCACTTTTTCTGGATCTAAATAAAATAGACACACTGTTTCTTAAATGTAAGCTAGAAAAGAAATAGAGAAATTCATTGTATTTGGATTCAATGCAAAATAAGCATCTTGTTTCTTAAATATAATCAACTGATGCATGAAATAAAAGAAACAATCAAAGGTTAAAACATAGACTATTTCTGAAATATAAGTCGCTGTTTCTAGAATCTAAGTCATTATTTCTAAAATTTAAGTCACTGTTTCTGGAATTTAAGTCACTATTTATGGATTTTTGTTCTTTTCTTTCTAGATATAGTGTTTGTTTGTGCACAAACAAAACAAACATTGTATTTGATTTTTTTTTTTCAGAAACAGTGTTATATTTTGGGTTCTCCAGAAACAGTTTTATGTTTTGATTTTTTTTTTTTTTAAAGACACTTTTTCGCCGATTTCTACCATTAAACTTCTTTGAACTTGTTTCGGCAGTTTTGTTCCGATGAATGCTTCATTTTTCAACTTTGATTTGGTTGTTTTTGAAATGGAGGAATTCGATTTGATAAGAAGACAGAGAGTTATTATGGCAGTTTCGTGCTGGGTTGAGGTTGGTGAAGAGTCAGGACAATATCAAATCATTTAGGGGTATTTACGGAAGTGTAGATTTGTATCAGGTTGAGCTTGTAAGTTTCACCCGTGGACAATAGTTTTGGATGATTTTTTATTAAACTTTGAGCCCTTTTGGTTAAATAACATTTTGAGATGATTTTTGGTTAAATATTTGTTGGCCCAAATCCTTATCATTAAAGCTCAATCAAAAATTTACTGTGACATTTTGAGTTATAACTTTTCTGCCCTTCGAAACAGAAATTTGTACTTTTTTTCTTAATGTCAACTAATTATGTCGTGATTTCATCAAGCTCTTTCAAGAATATTTAAGGCATGTTATGCATGGGCATGTTAGGTCGACTAATTATGTCGTGATTTCATCAAGCTCTAGCAAGTAAAACTACAACCAGAAAGAAGCTTGTGATTACAAGCATGATATAATCTCAGGTTCAAAAGCATCCGACAGAAAACGAAAACTAGCGTACATGCATCAAACGGACAGCAGACAGCCGCATACAAACTTCAGAACTCGTTCTTCCAACCGTCGAAACGCAGAACAGCACATATCCTACTCTTCTTTCTTGGAGGATTGGGAAGAAGCAGCGTCACCTTTTAACTTGCTTACACTAGCTTCGGCTTCAGCAAGAAATGCAGGATCAGGCTTGTGTTTGTCTGAAGGTTCTTTCATTGCCATATATATGTAAAATGCGATAACTATGTTGACAGATATAACAGCAAGGAATCCACTCAACAATGTGAGCGAATAGGGAGACATGTCGCTTACACCTGTTTCAAATGAATAACAACCTTGTTCAGAGAACCAAAAAGGAAAAACCTAGGCTGGAAACTTTAACAAAAACCATTAGTAGCACCCTTCCCAAATTCGACGATAGGATGCTATCTTCATTCTTACAAATCCCATTCACCGTATCAAATTATGCAATTCACATAAACAATATAGATCCTAATGACAATTTTTTTCATGTGAGACCATTAGTTGGAATTTTGAAGCAAGATTTAGACGAGTCGATTGAGATAAAAATTTCAATTATCACGGCACTGAGAGGGAGATGGACAAACTCTAAGGGCTCGTCTAGTGAGCTGGATGGGATTGGGCTTTAGGGATATGATTGGACAACCAGGACATGTAAGATGGGTCTTGTAACCCATGCACAAGGATACGTTAGATAACCCACTCTATTGTGGAGTCATAACCCATCATGTCTAGTTTTGTCCATTTTACATTTTGACACAACAAACAACGGACTGAACTCAAGTCCATATGAATTGGTCACAACCTAACCCACCAAACAAGGCTTAAGTGTTGTAGGAACTAGAGGAAGGTCATAAGGACTCAAATACAAAATGCGAACTAGAAATGGTCTGCTTATTTAGAACAAATATGGGTAAGCACACAAACATTATCAAAAAGAATACTTAGATAGATAATTGTATAGTGATATAGGACTAAGAAGAAAAACCCAGCGTAACTAGTGCAAAGTTTTTGTTAGAATAACTCTAAGAGGGACCTAAATAAGACGCAGTACTATGAAAATGACAAAAGCTTCAGTACTTGACACAATAGCCTTACCGGGAAGCAAATTATTGTTGAACGCATATAATATTGCAACGGGAATTATCCACATAAACATTGACGCAGTAACGAACTTTTGTATCACGCCTGCCATTGTTATCTCCAATCTGCATAATAAAGAGAAAAACAATCAATCCCAACAGAACAACAAATCACAGAGAACAATAAGCCATACACAAACATTGCCGAGGGAGAGCTGTAAAAGACTATCAAGCCAGAAGATATGCAACTGAATTTCGGTACAAATAAATGAAAACAGTTCTATATCTGTACCTAAACATTCTTCTTAGTGATCGTAAATTCATCTGAATCGAAATTTATATCAAATACCCATGGAAAAGAAAGAAAACTAAATCATAAGAACATGAGTGATCTAGATAACTCGTTAGGATACTTGTATGCAGTGCTTAAGTGGAGTACTAACTACTTGATTTTTACTGGGATATGATAGACCACTAGAAAGCCATCTATGTACAAATAAAGATCAAAACTTTTCATATGCAATCAAACAAAAAGCAACGCACCAGCGAACAAAGACGCCAAATTTCAAAACTTTACATTGTTTTTCAACAGGGTACATAGTATGAGAGTGACCCATAAAGACCTAACCTCACACAGACATTTAATCGAACATTTGGTGTGCACATACTCAACCGACAAAACAACGGAGTGAGAAAGAGCGTACCCAAGCGAGAGCCTTGGATCGGGAGACTGAGAGCAAACTAGAAACGATTTGACTTCCCAATGTTAGCTTGGCTTTTGCTGCGCAATCCAATCGATTCTGCTACAGAAATTGCATACTGTCAAAGGGGGAAGCAACAAAACCTGTGTTTTGGGTGCTGGCTAGGTGCGGTACAATTGTCAGCTGTTGAGATCAATCTTACGGTGAGTGTTTTAAACGAGCTCATGAGTAGAAACGGGTGAAATATTGCCCGTATTACAAAGCAAACACCCAATGGCTCCAGTCAAATCTCAAGTTCTCTCGTATCGAAGGTGGGGCGAGTTCCTTGGCCTCCCACCTGAAACAACATCTTCTTCCTTCTCTCTCTGGTGTTTTCTGAGTAAAAACACTTTGCTTCCGCCAGCTCCCTTCCCCTTCCCCTTTCTACCGATAGACTCGGATGCTCACAATGTTGGATGATCACAGTCGTTGGATCTTCTTCCGCACCGTTGGTCCGCAGGAGAGACGCTCAAGGATATATCGAATGGAAACTTTCTACATGGGCTTCTTCGGTGATGGACTGAAACCCTGTTAGGACATAAATGAATAAAAGAACATTTGAAATTCAGCAGTCGCTAGAAGAACCCTAACCCTAATACCGCTGCAAAAACTAAAGGAAGCTGCAGTAGGATATTATCAAAAGATCATCAACGTCAACCAAGTTAAATCCACCAGAGTTGATCATGGATTGTATTGTTGATCTTCCCGAGCATTTATTGGTTGAATCCTTTTCGACTTCCTTGCAATAAAGTTGCTTTCAGGCTTTCGGATGCAGGTGCGTGTCGAAAGCATTGGTTCTGCCTCATCTCCGATCCTTATTTCGTTGGCCGCTTTCTGTGCCTCTAACTCGACCATTCGAAGTACTCTTGTTATATTACCGAATGAAATACTGTAGCAGCTTTTGCGAAGTCGAAACATCTCGACACAATCTATTTCTCGTCTAGTTTCCTCCCCTTTTTTCGAGATACAATAACTTCTCCCTGTGATTACTACATCTGCAATCCATACACCAAGCAATGGCTCGCTCTTCCTCCCACTAGTATTAAATCTCTACGAGTGGGATTCATGTGTGATCCATGCTGTAACTCCTCCTCCTCTAAGGTGACGGTAGTAGTATCATCCAGCTTAATGCTGAGTACAGGTGGACGGTGGTGCTAATGCATCGAAATTTGTCAGGTGATGTCGGCACCTCCTTCCATGTGGCGATGATCTCTCTTCTGAGACTAGTGGTGAATGGAGGAGGGAGTTGGCTCTGTCATGCAGCCCACAGCAGATACAAGTCGATAAACAGATTTGACCTTATTATTTCACTCCTCACCAGCCAGCCGTTTTTCACAATGGAATGTTTTATTGGAGGCTTTATGGGTTTCCCTTACTTTTGAGTTGGGTCCGTTTGGTAGTAGTAGTGCTGACCATATAAATGGCGTTTGATTGAGGACCCTATGACTCGATTTGTTGAACACTCTCGATGTCTTTTAGGTGTCTGCAGATATGACATTTGAGATGGAGTGGTGACGATCCATTCACTGTTTGGGAGTTGAAGCTTCCCCATATTTCCTTAGTCTAAGGTGTTCCGCCATAATTCGTTGTCTTTTTTCAGTGAACTTCGAGTCTTTGAGAGCTGCGTAGAGATGTATGAGTGCATAATCTTTAGTATTGGGGGCGTGCCATGCATCCACAATTTCACTTTGTGGAAACCACATGCACAAGTGATTGAGAGTAATCCTCATGTGCATGGGCACTGTTTCTACCAAAATCCTTAAATATTTTGAGTGCATACCTACACATCATTCACTACAAAAATGTATGTTTTGCATATATGATCCACACATCCTCTCTTGTGCCTGAATTAGAAGAAGTAATTCAATCGATCAATTTTGAGACCATTTGGGAAATTTATGTAGGACTATGAAGAAATCCAAAAGCTTCATCATGAAATTGAAATACGATGCCAAAGTCTAATTAAATTCTATTTTCTTATAAGTCTAATTAAATTCATTTTTCTTATACAGTTAATTGGGAACTTGGGATTGAGGAGTTAAGTTGTTGCTGTCAAAATATATTCATTTTTTATCGTGCCGAAATTCGAAACTTTGAGCATTTATATAGTTAAATATGTTGTCAAGATATCTGATTATAGTTAGGTAGGTTAGACTCTTGATGAATTTTATCGCTGAGAACAATACAGAATATCTATATATGTAGATTCTTGAATTTTATAACCGCTTTTAAGTTGATGACAAGCAGGTAACATTGCCTTATCAAAAGTTCGTAATAAATCAAACCTCCACTTTTCATATCTTCGTGACTTGGAATCGGTTTGTGATGGCTTTATACGCCGGTTAATCGTGCCATCTGAGATCCATATGTCCCAATGTTTCCTGGGATGCTAATTGTAGTCCTGCAGGTACGTACATTTCATAGACACAAACACACAAGTGAACTTTTAGTTTGTTTGGTTTCATTTGTGTAAAGCGTTATTGGATAATATATATATAAACCGTTTTTCATTTGGAACGTCCTCAATTTTGTTCTTTCTGCAATCGTAGATATATAGAAATACCAGAAATAAATGATTACAAATATGAAAATCGATGCACATTAATTAGGCACATCGCTATTCATAGTGTTGGAATCGATTCAAATCACATGAGAAAATCGGATAATGGCTCCAATGTGCTGTGGCGACAGGTAAAGTGCACATAGAACTACTCTAATTGGTAGTTTACTTCAAACGCATAAAATTAACGTTGTGGGATTTCAACTTCTATCATTCTTAGCTTATTTATTTGTGGAAAATGATTTTCACATTTTTCTTAGCTCCAGTGTTTATTGCTCTTTCATAGCTATTAGATTGAAATTGACAGTTTCATATCTTATTTTTTAAAATTGACAATTTTATACCCAATCTTACGAATTTGTGACAATGTCATATCTCCGTCAATTTTTCTGTTAGTTTTTCTGCTAAGTGCTGACGTGGCTTGATTCAGGACCTACTTTCTATTAAAAAATTATTAAAAACTAAAAAACAATTATTTAATATTTTTTAAATATTAAAATAATAATAAAAAGTAGAAAAAATAATAATAAAAAACCTCATTTCGTCCGTACCCTCCCCCCTCCTCCCTCCTCTCTCCTCTCCTCATCTTCATCTTCTTCCTCCACCTGCAAATCCCAACAAAAAAAAAAAAAAAAAAATCCAATTTGTCTTCCCCCACACTCACACTCAGTTTCCCCTCACACCCACACTCAATTTCCCCCCACACCCACACCCACACTCTTCTCCCTCCTGCAACCCAAAAAAAAAAAAAAAAAAAAAAAAAACCCAGATCCCGTCAGTGGGATCTTGGGTGCGTAGAGAAGATGGAGGATGGGTGCGGAAGAAGATGTGGAGAATGGATGAAAGTGTTGGATTTGGGGTTTGATGGGTTTTCAAATTTTTTTTTTTTTTCCTTCCTCCTTTTTTTCCTCTTCTTCTTCTTCTTCCTCCTTCTCCTTCTTCTTCTTCCGCAGGGGAGGTGTTGATGGGTTTTCAAATTTTTTTTTTTCTTCCTCTTCTTCTTCCTCCTCCTCCTTTTCTTCCTCTTCTTCTTCTTCCTCCTTCTCCCTTCTCCCTTCTTCTTCTTCCACGCCGACTCCGGGGGAGGGGGGGTAATTTTTTTTTTCCCTTCCTCCTTTTTTTTTTCCTCTTCTTCTTCCTCCTCCTCCTCCTTCTTCTCCTTCTCCTTCTTGTTCTTCCGCAAGGGGGGTTGTTGGGTTTTCAAAAAAATTTTTTTTTTCTTTTTTTGGGTTGGCAGGTTGGGGGGGGGGGGGTGAAGAAAATGAAGATGGGGAGAAGAGAGAGGAGAGGGGGGGAGGGACGAACTGATGGTGTTTTTTTTTTTTTTTACTTTTTATTATTATTTTAATATTTTAATAATATTAAATAATTTTTTTTTTTAGTTTTTAATAATATTTTAATGATTTTTTAATAGAAAGTGGATCCCGAATCAAGTCACATCAGTATTTAACTGAAAAGTAAACGGCCAAGTAACGGAAGGTACAACATTGGACAAAATTCTAAAGATGAGGTATGACATTGTCAATTTTAAAAGATGAGATATGAAAGTGTCGTGATACCAATAGTTGAGGTAATTTTTTGTACTTTACCCTAAAGAATATATATAAGGACGAGTTGAGAACGAGAAAATATAAATGTAAAAATCATTTTCCCTATCTACCACAATGAACCTATGTTTTCTACAGCCTTTGAGTTAGCTTCAGTGGTGAGGGAGGGTCATCTAATTTGTTAGAGTTAGAATAGATTCAGGTTATCAATCGACAGGGATGTTTCATTCCGTTTTTTTTCTCATGTACTCCCGTCGATTATGTTTTCCATTCTTTGTCATGCCGGCATGTTTGGAAGGTATCAACATCAGAAAAACCTGTGAGGCATGGAGACTAGTGTTCCTACTCAAGATTTTCAAAACTGAACTATGGCACATATCCCATCTTATTAGGTTAACACATTACTGTTATATTCATTCCAAAGTTTTTAATAACTTTTTTTGTGGATGGAAGAATTTGATTGCTTTTAGTCACACATTGAGCATTACTAAATTTCCACTAGACTATATTACAATACGAAAGTACACAGCGAAGCCTAAGCCCTAATTACATTGAGGCATTTAGGCCCATTTGGCCAAAAGAGACATGCATCCACAGCCCAGAAGAAGTGAAACATTAGCCCCAAGCTGGATCCTTAGATTGTTCTGCATTCTTGGGTTCATAAAATCTGCTGCTAGCAGGTCAACCAGAGCCATGTATATTAGGATCCCAGCTGATGCAGAGTTGAAGACTCCTTCCACAATTAGAGCAGTTGGGCTGGTATCATTGTAAATGTTTGATATTCCCATTCCAACACCAATTCCAATTGGGGTGGTGAGGGAGAAGAAAAGCACCATTGTTGCAATGGCCCTGGACTTGAATTTGGCCTGCACATACAATTGGGACATTATATGTAAAATGTATGAAAATAGAAATTGTAATGGAGTTTAACCTAATTCACAACTCGAAAATGTTTCAGCATTTGGGAGTGGGTGTAGATATTCTGTCTTGTCGTCGAGTGTATACATCAGTCGATGATAAATATACAAAGACGATTGTATGCACTCCATGACACGAGAGTTTTACACAATTGTCGGATTAGGAAGAAACATGTGGGACTACTCATTGGTGAAAAGACACATCAATCCAAGTGTCCTAAAAAATGAACGTTGACTTTCCAAAAATGCTGAGATGAACGGATGTGCGAGTCCTTTTAGTTGCGATGGAATGCAATTGGACCCTAGAAAGAATATGCAGGATCTCTGAATAGGTGCCTAGAAGATTATGTGACAACATCAACAAGACTTTTTGGGGCTCTAAAACCACATAAAATGGTACGCATGTGGCCATGTGAAAATTGGTAAATGGCTAGAACATCATAGCCTAGGATTAGAAATTAAAGTTTCAAAGACAAAGCATGGTTTCAATTGAAGTAAAACATATGAGAGAAAGGTGATGTATATTTGGTTTCTGAGAAAATTGGAGTATTGATGTCTAGATTTTGGTCAATTGGGGTCTTAAATATGAGCTAAAAATTTGTGAATATTGATCCTTCAATATGTCATAGTGTGAAACAATGAGTCACTTTCAATAATTTTGTCAAAACTTCTGTCAAAATAAAGTGTTTAAAGGAGAATATAACAGACGGAAATTCTATCAGAGTTACTTAAAAGAACCATTGTTCCACATTTGACAAGTTCAAAACCCAAATACTCAAGGATTTTAAGAACCAATCCAATTTGTTATTGCATGTGGTCCAATATCTTAGTAGATAGGATGTTGGGTTCCTAGTTCCTACTCATACATTCCAAGTTCGAAACTTTCATCTTCTTTAAAATATTGTAATATTTTCAAACCCTTACTCATTCTTTTAAAAATATAATAAATTTAAAAAATAAGATTCAAATTAAAATACAAGACGACAAACACACCGCCCTAACCAGTTAGTTTTCATTTATGAGGGGATTAAATGACAATGAAACAAGAATTAAATGTTTGAGGAAATTGATGATACCTGAGTTATGCACCCGCCAAGGCCCATGCCTTCGAAAAATTGATGGAAAGTAAGAGCTGCTACAAGAGGTTTGATTGTCTTGGGACTCTGTGAGGCACCTAAAGATATCCCAATAATCACTGAATGAACCAAAATTCCCAGCTCCAGAACCTGAAAAATTATTCATGCAAAGAATTTCCATAATTAAATCAGAAAAATTGCCTAGAAAAAAAAAAACATGAAATTTAAATTAAACACCGAAAAAATAGTTAATATAAAAAAGTTAATAAAAATGGAGAGTTAAAAACAGGGGGAAAACAGTGTGCACCAACTCAACAAAATGTAGCACCAAAAATTGAAGCATAAACAACTAGAGAATCTAAACCAAACTCTACCTGTGATATCACTCGATGCCTAACAAGCTCAAAAGAAGAAATCGAATCCTCCGCCGCAATCACGCCGGAACCATGAGCATGGCCGTGTGTGGCATGAGTGTGAACATGCACATGACCCTCATGCACCCCATTCATCTCTTCATCCTCGTTCACCAGCAGTGGCTTAGTGAAATGAGATCTTCTATAATAGCTGGTGGCAAAGGTATCGATCATCATCGTCCCAATCGCCGAAAGCATGGCGATGAAGCCGGTAAAGGGGAAGTTCCCCCACGGGGTTTCGCTGAGGCAAGGGCTTGTCAAGCTCTCAAAAGCGTCCGGCAGCACGTGGATGAAACCTGTTGCTAGAATCACACCGGCAGCAAAGGCCTTGATCATGAAGAAGATGTCATTTTCGGGGTTTAGGGCCGGAATTTTCTTGCCCAACATTGGGAGGGAGACACCAAGGAAACTTGCTATGAGGATTGAACTTATTGCAACTAGCTTGAACTTGAGGACTTTGAACTTGTCATGGTCTACGGTTTCCGAATTGCATTCGCATCCCGCGGAAACCGAGATGGGGACAAAAAGGAGGAGGAGAAGAAGAGGAAGAGTATAAGCGGGAGTGAACTTTTTCATGGCTTTCAGAGAGAGAGAGAGAGAGAGAGAGAGAGAGAGAGAGAGAGAGAGGGAGGGTTTTGAAATGGGATTGTGAAGTGGTGAGCTGAATGCTTACTGTATATATGAGTTGGAGAATTTGGGGAAAGCAAAGGCATTGAGGTAAAAATGGCGACATGGAATTAAGTTCTGTTTGTTACGAAGGGAAGTGGGGTTGCCAAGTGTGTGGTTAGTGAAGCCAAATGACGACATTATGTGTTAATGCAACAGTTTAAAGGAAGTTGGGAGACTTTACGAGTCACTATCTGAACTGTCAATGACTACTGACTAGGACTGCGGACTTTAGTATTTGTTTGTCCCACATGATCCTCTCCGGATCTTTTGTTAGAATTCTGGGAATTTATGAATTATATTTGTTCATTGTACATTGTGCTGTTAGTTTTTATAAGGTACTGTTTGCGTTTAATTTTAAATAAAAATATTTAAAATAATTTCTGACCGTACGATATATGATGAATTTTCAAAATCCTTACAAAAAGGTTCCTATCCGAATTCTTTGTTAATGAAGGCAAAAACAAGCACTTAGAAACATTTAAGTACGAAGTATTCCATCTTGAATGGTATTAGGCTTTTAGCCATTGCATGGGCTTGGATTTTGTTCAATACTAAGGAAAAGAAATTGACTTGTCGTGTTGGGCACCATCAAGTACTAAAATGGCTTTGATTTTGATTAAAAAAGGAGAGATATTTTCTATTGCATGTGTTTGGGGTTGGACTTTAGTCATGTTCCAATTTCAGCAAGTAACACAGATTAAAAGTTATGATCGTCACATCGTACATTGTATTGTTATTTTATTCTTGTAATATTATGTATTTATCTATTAAGACATCAATTATGTTATTTGGCCTTACATGTGACGTATTGATGCTACCAAGACGACACATTAAAGCTAAGTCATTGGAGTGCTAAAAACCCTACCCTACCCCGATTTAGAGGAGAAATTTTTCATTGTGATGGAAGTACGAATGGTACACCACGTGTTTTTATATAAATTGTAGGAAATTTTATTTTTTAAGTTATTAACTTTTTAACATACATATCCTATCATTTGTATAGTAACACGTGATGTACCAACTCGTATGCCGATTACATTAAAAAATTTCTCGACTTAGAGCGATTAGAAGGTACATAGCCGTCGTTAGAAACCCTCCTCCTCCTCTAGACACCCATACCTACCAAAATTTGTTAGAAAGGAAAATAAATTTTTTACTTAACATTTTGTCATCTGCTTCGAGTAACTGTTCGATATGGTCGAGAGCTTTGGTTTTGGGAGGTTGTCTTTCGAAATCGAGAGGGAGATATTATATTTATGAGTTGTGTTAGTGACAGTTATTTAGTGCGTTGATTGTTTGTAAAGGCCAAATTGCTGACACATTGTATAATCCACTTGCATGTTCATCAATGGTTGATACCCGGCTGTAGTATCTCTTTCTCGTTTCATATATGTTTATGTTGAAGTCAAGTGATTGTCTAAATATTGACGACAACAGTAATTCTCATAATTCCTAGAATCATTTCATTATAAAGATTATTTTTGAAACCAAAAATTGCCAGTGCCATAGTTGCATTTCAATATTTTTTTTCACCTGAAACAAGCTTTCTATTTTGCATCAAATACCATACTCAAAAATTATAATATATAAGATAGAAAAGAACATTCCATCCTAAGTAATGTTGCATGCACACCATCAAGTATCAACACTAAATTGTTATTAAATAAAAACGCTAAGATGAGAAACCCTTTATTTAGAGTAGGATTCCTTTTCCTTCAAATTTCCTCTTTTCCTATTTAACCGGTCATGATTAAGTCACGTCAACATCTTGTATTGAATATTTATAGAGAGAAATTAGAGAGGAGAATCCTAGTCCCTTTTATTCCTGCCTCAAAGCTAGGAGAATTTTATTGTCCGAGGTCTAAACTATGTGACCGTGCGACTCTCACACACACAAAAGTCTTTCTATATTTAATCTCACCTACGTAGTGTTGGTTTCAACCGATTGTTCATGATGCTTTAAGGCAACCTTTAGACAGAACAAGACTCCCACCATTGAAAGAATTAGATATGCCTAGAAAGCTTTTAGAATATAACAAATTAGACTTCCATTTACGTTTTTTTCACCTTAAAATGATTTCTTCACTTGTTTAATTTTTTATGCTATATGCTGGCTACTTTTGACTAGAAAGAGAAATACAGAACGTAGAATTATTCAATGTCGTATAACCTCCTCCACCCATTGTGACCTGACAACTTTGCCTTATGCATATACTTCATGGGAGGTCCAGATTTATATCACACTTTTCATTTTTTATTTTTCATTCCTTCCTCGTCAGTTGACATTGTTAAAACAAAATCATTGTGGCATAAAACTCAAAAATTAAAGCTAGTTGCAGTAAGTTCGATGCTTATTTAGGGCACTAGCTAGCCATAAAACGATTGAACTTGTTACAACTAGCTTGCATTTGAGAGCTTTGACTTCGTTCCGATCCTCGGCATCGGTACTGCATGTGCATTCTGCAGAAACAAAAGAGGTTAAAGGGAAAAGAGGAGGAAGAAGAATGTAAGAAAAATAAGTGGTACTATGCTGGTCTTTCTGAAACTGTGAGCCTGTGGCTTATTAAGGCCTACTCTATATATTGCATATATATGAGTTGGAGAATTTGGCAAAAGAAAGGCTGAAGTAAAAATGACGATATGGAACTGAATTCAGTTTGTGTGGAAGTGAACAAATGACAAGTGTGCTTTTAAGCCAATTTATGATATTATATGATCAAGATGATGTGTTACAGACATAGTCGGCGTTGTTAATTTATATAATGTTATTAATTCACGTGTTATAGTATTGATCAATGATATGATTGATAATTTTAAAACTTGAGATATTGTAATGCACTACTAGAATATAACTAAGTAATAATACGCGTGGTAGTATGACATGTACCGAAAAATCTCTGCTAATCTAACTTCTGGACAAACCTTCCCATATAAATTGCACTATGCAGCTATTTCTTATCTGAACAAAAGTTTGTTCCATGCAACAAAAGTTTAGTACACACTTTGTCTATAGACAAAAACTAAAATGTGATAAATTGAGAAAGTTGAGATGAGAAGCTCCTTTATTCTAGCCAAAAAACCTACAACATTAAGGCCCATGTTGAGTGGATCATGTATGTCAACACCAAATGAAATAATACATTTTTTGAAGATAAACAAATTAGACTAGAAAGGGGGATCCAAGGAGCCTAGGCTTCGATGTCCTAGTGCTTCCACCACTTTTTGTTATGCATATACTTCATGGTGGGTGTCCAGATTCTACTAGGTCCTCTTCATATGTTGGGTGTACAATTTGCCTTCCCCTTGCTCGTTGTTTCAAAATAGAACACCATGACTATTGTGAGGATGGGAAGAATCTCATGTCATGAAGTTAAGAAATCTTTTTAAGGCTATAATGAGTTGTGTTCCTTTTTTCGTTGTCAACTGATTTTTCGATTGAAACTTCAACTTTTTTCATGGTTCGCCCACATACATGCATGTGAAGTTCAACGGCAAAACGTGTTATACGTCCCCCAATCAAATTGTCTATTTCTTAATTTTAATATTTTTTTACATGCAAAGGAAAACACGAGAATATAATTAATTGTCCCACTTCAAAAAGTTCAGAAATGTTTTTCCTTGTAATTTTTACTATTTCAGATTGTTATTTTTTGGTATAATTGTTCACATGGCCACGTCTCTTTTCGAAAAGAGAAAAATTCTCTTAATTCCCAGTCCATCTCATATGCAAAAGACTGATGAGGATGAGAAACTGACGAAGCCCTGTTGCCATTCGATGTCTGTGGTTCCATGTCGTCCCTGCTCCTTCCCCAGTGTGTCTCTCTTCTCAGCCCAAAATCCAGCAGTAATTTCCAACAAAAAAAATATATTATATAGAAAGCAATAATTTGATTGGTTCCGAACATAATTCCAGTATATTGGTTGGTTGGTGGTCCTATAGATTACACAATACTATTGAAGGGTATTTAGCAACTTGAATTTTAATTTTGGACCAGTGCACTACAGTTTACCAATATCAATAAAAAAGATTTAGGACATATTTTCAAGTAATGTGTTAAAAATAAGTTCATAAACAAAAAGGGATTTCCCGCTTTGGTTGGACCCCAATAAAGATTATTTATGATGCACTTTGAAATCCCAAATGCCAACAAATAACTGGAGTAGGATTTTCTTCAGTCCAATTTCCTCCTATTTGAATGGTTACAATAAATCACATCAACATCTTGTATTGACTTATTTATAGAGAGAGACAAAAAGAAAGATATGAGAGGAGGGAAGGAAGGGGAGGAGATTTAGAGAGCATTTGGAGGAGAGAAAGTGCTAATCCCAAATAATTACAATTTACTGACACCAAAGGAAAAAAATAACATATGTTTGCATACTGTTTGTGTTTTGCTTGTGCAAGGAATTTTATTTGGTAACGGGACTTGGCTTCCCAGAAGTTAGTAACTGTTGATTAGAGTGTGGTGTGTAGACCTCAGCAGGAAAGTGGGCTTGGTCTTCTTGATTTAGTTTTTTTGAACTTGACGGCTTTGTTTAGTTTTGGCTAGGATGCTTTACAATCCCCTTCTTTTTGAGGTTATTTCACTCGGTAGGTTTTTCCCTTGTGCATTATAAAAGACAAGATATTTATTTACGGTCTTCTGTGTGGCATGGTTTAAAGCATGTTTTGCCCGTTCTAAATAATGATAATCGTTGGATTATTGGTGATGGGAGGTCAAAGTTTCCTTTTGGTTCGAAAAATGGTTGGATGACCCTATTATTAACACTTCATTATCTCCGGTTATTTCGCCTATGGTTCTTCCTAGTTTTAAATGATATTGAAGCTCAAAGTTGGTCTTTGTCAGATTATTTTGTAGATTTAATCCCTTTTGTGGTGCAACATATTTTACATCTTCCTTTGCCTTCAAATGTAGAGATGACAAGTTGATTTGGAGATTTCGTCTACTAAGATCTTTTTCTTTTCTTATGGTTATCATCTTAT